TTATTAACTATGTCATCCCCAGATGTCCAAGTGGTGAAGAGACTCTGTAATTGTAATCTAATACAACCTTCACAGAACCTATCAGAGTATCTCATCAATCTACACTTGTTACATTTCCTTGGATTGCCTAATTTATCTACTGCACTTTCTAATTCAAATGCATAAATAAACCTTTCTTTACAATATTCTTTTTCATTTTCAGAAAGTCCCTCATTTTTCTTGACTAATGAAAAAAAATAATCTTTTTGACTTTCTCTATCAGAATTAGCCAAAGAATCATCATACATTTCATTATGAATTTTATATACAAAATCCTCTCTTTCTGGTGATAATAATTTATCATATGACATTTTAACTTAATATCTTTTAAAAAAAATTTATAAATTTATTTTGGAAAAAGATAAAACCCGATTTTTTCCTTTTTGAGACAAGTAATTAATAGTAAAATTATCTAATCAAAAGGAATTTCGCACCCAAACATCGATTTTTATATTAATATTAAAATTTAAAAAGTTAAGCTTTATCAACCAAATTATTGACAGTTTTCCTACAAGGAGCTTTACACCTCGGGTTAAATTCTATAAAATAAATGTCATCAATTTATGTGAATTTTATCCCTTTTGAAAATAATTCTTTTCAAACAAAATCTTCTTCATCAACTACTTGAATTGCCAGCAATGAATTTTAAAAGAGCCGCGTTTTTTTTTAGCTCTTTTCATCACAAGGTAAAGGTCATTAGCAAAACCTTCATTAAGTAAGAGTTGATATGATTGTGCATCCGATTTTTGTTCCAAAGAATTTTCTCACTCTCTACAACGGCCCTTCTGCTTCGGAAAACAGACAGTATATGGGACATACGAGATAATTTTAATTGGGCTCAAATTCCCGGTTCGTTTATAGAGTGAAACCTGTTATAGAGAGAATGAATTGTATTATTATGATGTATAAGGACAAAGATATCCAAATCAATGTTGTTGTAGATTTGTGATATGCTGGTTCAATTATACAATTTCTTACTTCGCATTTCACTTTAATTGGACAAGATCATTAGGAACTCATTTATAACGTAATTTCTTTTTCTAAATTACTTTTATCCCATCATTTTCTATTATTTCACATTCTGTCTGTTATAACATTGCTATTGATACTTATGACATCCTTACTCCTTCTGCCAATATTACTATCATTATTCTCCTCATGTCCATTATTATAGTCAATATTATAACAAGTGTGGTCATCAACATTGCAATTTCCATACCCATCATTTCTTTCAATAAAATCAGAATCCATGATATAAGGCATACTAAAATGATATGAAAAATCGTTGTTAGTATTATAGTAGTGATAGCAGTGGTGGTGTAGTCTGTAGGTAAAGACGTAGATAATAAATCGTCAATTTTTCTGGATAGCTACTAACCACTGAAAAAAATAGGGATTTCTTTTGGTGGCAGCTTCAACATTTGAAAGTTTTTGTATTTGGTATTAACTGGGATGCCATCGTATACATCCTGTCTTCATTAATAACATACTTTTTTTTCAAATGCAGAACTTTCGCATGGAGATGTAAGAAGATCGCTTTTACTAAGAACATTGATGGCTGGAGAGATGTAGTTGATTGTATAATTGTTATCTTGAAAATAAATAAAATTTTTCAAGGTGATATATCGCATAACAATTATACAAGGGGAAGATATTTTACACCCATTTGGAAAAATAGCCCATGTGCAGTCTTGAAAATCAATTAGAAAAAATAGGGCAATTCGATTGACAAGCCAAGCTAACAGAATTGGCCGAATTAATGCAATGGGTTAAACTTTTTTATTCATTATCTCCGGTTACTATTCTTTTGTAATCTATTAAACGTGCAATTCGTAACGCCAGACCACAACGAACCCGACCAATGACAGCTCCGACTGATCAGACATGAAAATCTCTAAATGAAATCCGACACTAAAATCCCAAATTTCTCAAGCTGAAATCCTGATACATATTTTGGCCATATTGATTGATACGATCGTATCGTGGTTGTCACTCATCATTTTATACATCTTATTTATATCCAAGTTGGTTTTCTTTTCAGATTAGTTGGGTGGACTTTAGAAACCTCATTGACTTAATACTCAAAATGTAATGACTCGTTTTTGAAAAGCCTTTCGGAATGTTCTTTATCTGATGAAATCATGTTTCTTCTTCGTTTTGAACCGGTTGACTGAATTTTATTATTTGCATATTGAATATTAACAAAGTCTCTATTAATTACGGTAAAAGTAAACATGGTTACACTCGTTTTCCAACTTTCTTCATTTAATTGCCTACTGTTTTTTTATAATCATCATTAACTAAGTAAAAATAAAGACAAGTGAGTCTTGATCTCGCCGAGATTATAGCATTTTTTACTGCTTTATTAATAACTTGATCCCATTCATTATGTGTAAATGTCGACCTGATACAATTTTCTGGATAAAATCCACAACTGGTGAAAGAATATGATTATTTTTCCTTTTATGTATTCAATGTCGCAATCCTTTGTAATCGCTTTAATTTTTGCAACATTCGGCTTTGGCCGTAGTCAATTTTCATATACAAAGGTATTAACTTTCCACATTGAGTATCCATAAACAGCAAAAAGTTATCAATTTGCACTCACATCATTTCTGTTAAAATAAGTACGAGCACTTTGATAAATACTTTTTCTTTGACTGCGTTAACGTTTTTTAAGATAGGAGTATACATTGTTTTTGAATTTCAGTTAGCATAAATGTTTCATTCTTATATTTTATGCAGATCTTGACATATCTGTGTTTTAAATTTTCACCAGTAATGCAACAAGTTGATTTCTTCAACAAAAATTTATTTTATAATAAAAAATGCAGCAGCAGCCTCAAGAAAATAATAATATTGAATCGTTAAATGTGTTAACTGAAGCAGAAACAGTTGAGATAAGGTAAAAAAGACGAGATTTTGGCATGAAGTTATATTATAAATGATGATTTCCTAATTATTAATTTTTTCTAATTTTTTTTTTTTTAGAGGTAAAAAAAAAATTAATCAAACTATCACTCTATCTTTATATACAATTATTAATTAATTAATTAATTAATCATCTTCATCAACATCTATTATTAGCACATCAAAGAACATTCGAGGGGGCATATTGGAGAACCAGTTTATCAGCATTTGGATTTGCTCTAATTATCTTGCGCATATTTCAAGATTCATTCTATCGAATTGGGATAGTGTTTGTGGTGTATGGTGGAATTTTATTGTTTATTTCCCTGTTTAAAAGAAATAATACTTCATATATCATAGATAAAGACAAACCATTTGTTACAAGTGGTGTTTTTGTATTATTGGTTGGTTTATTAGCTGCAATAACTTATTTTACATTACTATTATTATTAATTCAATTGGAATAAATATTATTTGATTACATGTATGACATATACCACGTGATAATAGATCTAATCAAAAATTTTTTTTATTAAATTATTTATTACTATTACAATTACAACTTTATTTCGTTTTTACCAAGTATTAATAATAATAAAATAATAATGAGTAAACCGATCGGATTTTGGGGTAAATGTTCTAAAAAATAATGTGTATCCAATTAATATAAAAAGTTAATTCTGAGCTATTTTCTTCTTTCATAGGACTTGTACTCACCAGTAATAGTCCTTTCACTCACGTAGCTTCTCGTGATTACACAATTACAATGGTTTGCATCAATAAGTTTTCCTCCTCGTTATACTTTATTATTATTATTATTATTATTATAATAAACAGTATTTGATTATTATGTGATGTAGGCAGCTTTTGATTCGAAGCTAAAAGATGATAAACGTACCTCGGTGCTTATGACACGAAACGATTCTACAAAATATGTACTTTGTAATTTGATACCAGGAGTGGTAAATTTATTTATTTTTTATAAATATTCATCCATTCATTTATTTATTGATGTATTAAATTTGATACTTCAATGTTAACGTTAATGTTAATGTTGATTGATCATTTTGTAGATAGAACAACAAATCTTGAATCAAACTATCTTCAGTGGTGAAACTGTCACAATTCATGTTGAGGGAAAAAAGTAATTATTTTGATAATGAATGATGAATGAATTTATGTGTAAAATATACTAAATACATTTAATAATTTTTTTCATTAAAAAAATAAAATAAAGTAATATACATTTGACTGGTCATTATATCGAATTCTTGGATACCTTAGGAAATGGACCATCATCGGGACAAACAATCATTGATGAGCACTTTCAACCTAATATTTTACCCAATTATTCAAATATAATGTCGTCAACATCAAAAGTTGATGGTAAAACTAAAAATAAGAATGGAAGTGGAGATGAAAGTGGCAGCAACGATAAAAATGAGAGCGGAGGAAATGTGAGAGGAAATGGAAAATTAAAGAGATCAATTGATACTTTAAATTCAAATGATTCATCAATTGCTAATCACAATGCTGATAATGATAATGACAATGATGGTAATGATGTTGCCAATAAATCAAAAACCAAAAAAAAAAATGTCAAGAAGAATGATAAAAAAACCGTGAATAGTAATAATAATAATAATAATAATAACAACAACAATAACAACAACAAAGGTGATAAGGATGTTGAAGAAATTAATGGCGAAAAGAAACAAGTCAAAAAACGCAAGACCAATTCTGGTAATAAAAATGTTACTATTGAAGATAACGGTGATGCTAAGATGGTAAAAAATTTTTCTCCAATTATCAAGTTTTCTTTAATATTTATGATTAACATTTCAATACTTATATATTAAATTAAAAAATGATGCATACAAAGAATCTTGATTTCGGGTTGGATGATTTGGATGATGATAATGACAATCAGGATAAAAATTCTGGCGCTAATGAGAAAGCAATTAACAACAATCAAAAAATAAATAAAAAGAAAACTCAAATAGAACACCAACAGGAAAATCCAACTAATCAAGTTAATAATAAAAAAGAAAGCTCAGAAGAAAAGCAAGCTAATAAAAATAAAAATAAAAATAACAAGAAAAAAGATAACAATAGTAACTCGAAAACAAACGATAAAAGTCCAAATAGTCAAGAGGTATAATTGATCGATTGGTCCGATTAATTGATTTTTTGATTGGTTGGTTGTATACAACACTAAACATGAATAATTTGTACGTAGAAAAAAGTTAAGAATGTTGATGGTGTTTCGATTACTGAGGCTAAAGTTGGAATGGGCAAACAAGCAAAAAATGGAAAAAAGGTAATTAATAATATAAATATTTGTGTATTCATTCTAATTATTTATTATTTTATTATTTTTATCTTGTATAATATTTAGGTTGGTGTTCGTTACATAGGACGTTTGAAGGATAATGGCAAAGTATTTGATTCAAATACAACTGGGAGACCATTTTTTTTTACTCTAGGAAAAGCTGAAGTCATTAAAGGTAATAATAAATTTAATTTGCATTTTAAAAATTATAAAAATATGAAATAAAATCTAAATTTATTATTATTATTTGAACTAAATAATTAAGGTTGGGAGATAGGAATAAATGGAATGTGTGTTGGAGGTGAAAGAAAATTGGTGATTCCACCTGCACTTGCATATGGCACTAAAGGTCATCCCCCAAGTAAGTAAAGAAAAATTTTATTATTATTATTGTTATTAACTTTATTGATATCGTTGGATAAATAATTGATATTTATTTATTTATTTATTTTAGCAATTCCCAAAGGTGCAACGTTAGAATTTGAAGTAAAATTATTAAAAGTTGATTAAATAATGTTGAAATGATTCTGTTTTTTATTTATAATTTTAAGTTATTTGCTTTATTGTTTTTATTTCTATTTAAAATAAAGATTTTTTTATGATAAAATCAAATATCCCTTTAAAATATATATATAATTTTAACTTAACGATGATCCTAAATCATTAAATGCACCAGTCAAGGTTTTTCTAAATGCAACACTATCGGTTTCTTTGGCATTTTTATAACTACTTATACTCAACTTTAACTTTTCCTTGCCAATAGAATAACAAATACCATATCCATCTGGCACAACTGCTCCAAAACCACCATAAAAATAATCACCCGGGCTCATATTTGAAGAGGAAAGTTTAAAATACATCGATTTGAGGTATGATGGATCACTAAAAATTGTTGCTTTAGATCTTTCCTCATCGTTTTGAAGATGTACTCTCAATCCTAATAAATGTCTATCTACTCCATTGCCTTGATTATATAATTATAATGAGAAATTAATAAAAAAAAGTTTTTTTCGTTTGAGAGAAACGAGTGATTATATAGTGTAGTATAGTGTACCTTTGGTAGCAGATATCATATATTCCAAATGACTCTCGATGGCTTTTTTGAGTAATTCAATTTTCTGTTCTTTCTATAATAAAATAAAATTATATGAATAACATTCATAAATAAGTAGTTGACATTCATTAAAATAATTTTTTATTACTTTAACGTTTTTATCATCGAATGCTTTTGTGAATGCAACGCTGTCTACAGAGCACGATCTAACAGTTTCTGTTCTACCAAGTAAAAATGCTCTTGTAGAAGCAGATTCATAAGTAGCACATGGTTCACCATAATGACGATAATAAGCTAATTGAAAAGCCATTTGAACAAAAGCATCTGGACTAACTTTGACTATTCAATTAATTGATTAATTAATAGTGAATAATTTGATTTTTTTTTTTTTTTTTATAAATAATTAAATGATCTTATAGAAGTTTACTTTTCTTTAGCCAATTAGAACCATATTCGCTATAATGTAATAAAACACTATCAACATTATCAATTGCTGACTGAATATTAACTTGCGCATTTTCTATGGTTTTTTGAATAGACAGATCTAAATTCCATTTTAAATGTTCGGGGGTGGGTAAACTAATTGAAGATGCATTTGGTGGATCTTGAGCAGGTTCTCTATTAATTTATTCATAAAGTAATATTACTAATATGTAATATTGTAAATATACATATGGGGTGGACAATAGAAACAAATTAAACGTCAATAGTACTACAATAGATGTTTCTATTGTCCACCCCCATATTATTAATCAAATATATGTTAGAACTTACCTTGACACAATATAATCCATCATTTTTCCAGGAATTACTGCATCTGAAGGTGAATGCTATTCAACCAACAAATTTCTTTTTTAATTAATAACTATTTTACACCTCATAATAATAAAAATACTTTATTTTATATTTTTCTTTTTATCTTTTGCCCTAACTCAACTTACTTCTCCATTAATACCACCACGTCCATTACTTTGCAAAATAACTTGAACTGCTTTATCAAACCAACGATTTCTTCCATCAAATCCATGAAACAAATTGTTATGTGATACACTAATATCACTATCAACTGAATAATCATCTAATGACACACTAAATAATGCTTTGTCAATTGTTTCAAAATTTTGTTTGTTGTTCATTTCTAATGTTTTTCGAGCCTTTGAGATTTTTGATATTCAAAAGAAAAAAATTTAGATTTTTCAATAAATAATTTGTATATATAATATATAAATTTATTAAGCATATTATAATTTTTATAATTACAGTTGCCCAAGTATCACGATGTTCCCCTGTTAACAATCCTACAGGAGCTTGTAATTTGCTACTAGGAATCTTATTAACTTGTTCAACAACTGATCTAAGTTGTCTATTAATTAAAAAAATTTTTTTAAATAAATAAAACATTATCATATGTACACACACACACACACACAAAAATCCACCTACTTTTCGATTTCATTAACAGGAACCCTTGCGCCATTATCGCCTAATACTTGTACTTTAAAAATTTGGTCTTTAAACAAAACAATTATAAATTTTGCGGTTGCTGGCCAAGTTGTGATAATACGATCTTTTGGATGATCTGCTATACGAGTTGCTCCAAATTGATTTTTATATTGGTTCATACATAATAATCCTTGTCGTGTGGATTCTGGCGGTAATTGTTCACTAATGAATTAATGATTTATTAATCCAAAGAAAAAGAATCATCAATATTAAACTGGCTAGCAGTAAAATAAACAACAAGTTGACATACGCACTTATTAATTATATCATTGAAACTTAATAGATTTGATATGAGTCCAGTCATTCTATTAATTTGAAAATCAGAAACTTGACCTTTTGGCGGAGGTTGTTTTAATATTCCATCTACTGGATCAACAAATTCACACCACCAATTAACATTAATCAACGAAGGCTCACGCCATTCAAGATATGCCTTGTCCAACCAAATTTTGTCAAGCCAATTGGGCTGTAAATTAAGTAGTAACAAAAATAACGATAATTGCTGTTATTATTGGTGGCTTAATAAATCGAATTACACGCATGTATAATTCACCTCAATATTATACAATTCATGTAACCTAGCCTGTAACTTTTCACCAAGACCATCCTTCTTTACAAATTCGTCAACAGCTGCTGCTGCACGATTATAATCGGCTTGGGATAAAAGTGGTAATAAACTTTTTTTGTAACGTGTTGCAGTATCTTGAAGGGTAGGAATTGGTAGGTGTGGCAGTTTATCTTGATTACTAAAAGTTTTAATTTCAACTTGTGAAGAAAAGTTTCGTCGTAAATCATTATTGTTGTTATTATTATAAGGATAATTGTTTTGAAATGTTGAAAAAGACCGAGAAATTTGTCTAATTTGATGATGTTTTTTGATTACTATTATTATTAGGTACGTACGTATATATAATTTTTAAAAAAACTTACCTTTTGTAATGAAAGTTTTTTAGAAAAAAAGTATTTGAAAGTATTCTTGAAGACACTAACAAACTATCTAATTTATTAAAATCTCTGACCATCTTTAAAAAAAAAAAAAAAAGAATAAAAATTCTGCCGTGCTAATCAAATTTAGTAACTATTTGCAGAAAATCTGCCAATAGTTTTCAAATTGGGTTAGCACTGCATACTGAATTTTATATATATATACATTCGCGCGTTTTTTCGTGGGAGTTTGTTTTTAATATTTAATCCAAAATTCAAAATAATAATTTAATATGCAATTTTATAATTATAATTTTTACTAATAATATTCCTTCTCTTGATTTTAATAGTTGTTGATACGTTAACTAAACTAAATACTATATATTATCATTTATCATCATTTCTTATTAATTATTATTTTTTTCACCTTTTATGTTGTAAACTATCAAACATATAAAATGTACAGGATAAAAAATTTGAAACATTATATAAATTTCCAATTTATGAAGCTGCAGCAATTTCTGATTTTGAAGCAGAAATTGATGACAAATATAAAATTAAAGGTGAAGCAAAACAAGCTGTTTCTGATTACAAAGAAGCTGTTGAGGCAATAATCTATAATCTATATGTACATTAGTTAATAAATTAATTAATGACAATTATTATTATTATTATTATAGAAAGGATATGGTTATGAATCAGATGATAATAAAGAAGCAAGGGATAAAATCTTGAGCTCCAGTTCTATTTCCTTAGTACTTTGCATTGTTTCGCCTTTGATTTTTTTCTTATATTCCGATCCTACAAATTCACAGGTTCGACAAAATCAACATTATCACTCTGCATCAATGCTTGTTTATGGTCAGGTCCATCCTTCTTGTTAGAATAGTCCTTGATAGGTGGCGGAGTAGGCAATGACGAACAAACTGGAGAAAGTGGAATATTAGTAACAGTTTGATTCTACTTCTTAATCACCTTGATATATCATATTCCAGTTTTGCAATTTTGGCATTGAGCTCAGCATCTCTTAATTCCTCACACTTATCATTTTTTTGACTCAGCTTTGCGTTCTCAGCAAAGACTTAACATTTTCTTGTCTCAAATAAATCAATTTCGGATTGTATGTTTAGAGATAACTTTTATATAATAATAAGATGCACATATCAATTTATAACACGTAATAAAATAAAATGTTTTTGATTAGTTAATAATTTTACTTCATCTCATGCAAATTCCACACCACATCGTATGTGTATTTGCATAATTTAACATAACACCACCATCAACAGATATTGGAGCTAATATTTTAGTTTGATCATTTCATTTCTTTCAAGAATAAAGATACCAGACGTGATTGGCATTTAGTCAACTGGTGTTTTTGAATTTATCAATTTTCGGTAATTTTTTTTTTGACAATTAAAATTCTGGTGACATGACTTCATTTTTCATTCATATTTCTTCTTTTCAACAACATGTCTTTGGAAGTAAAAATATCATATGTATAATAAATTTTATTCTTTTATCTGAATGAGCTATGCAAATAATGTTCTTTTTTTTAAACTTATTTATATTGTTTCCAAATTGTTATCAAACTTAACTGATTGTGGGGCTGTTATTAATATTATAAATATTCTTGTTAATAATTACCTCCAACCAAATTTTGTCAAGTCAATTGGACTATAATTTAAGTAGTGCAAAAATAACGGTAATTACTATTATTATTATTATACAATTCATGTAACCTAGCTTGTAACCTTTCGCCATCCTTCTTTATAAAGCTGCTGCTGCACGATTATAATCAGCTTCAGATAAGCGGTAATGAACATGTTGTACATCTACCAATCTCGACTTTCAAAACACTGAAGTTTATCTTGATCACTAAAAGTTTTAATTTCAACTTGTGAAGAAGAGTTTCGTCGTGAATCATTATTATTGTTGAAAAAGGTTGAACAATTACTATTATTATTAGTGCCTGAATATAATTAAAAAAACTTACCTTTTTTAATAAAAATATTCTTGAAAAGACTAATTTATCTCTTAATAATAATCAGTAATCAAAATTTGGTTAATTTGCATGTGAATTTAAAATACGCACAATTCCCAATAAAGCAAATCAATAACGTATGTTAAATAAATTTTTCGTGGGAGTATATTTTTTAAATCATATTAAATATCAATTATCCCAAAATTCAAAATTATAATAAACAAAATGCAATGTTATGGTCTTATTTGTGTTTCTCCCGATTCTCAAGAAAAACCAATTCCTTTACAAAATGTTAAAGTTGAAGCAAATGGTTTGTATTCATAAATTAATATAATTAATCAATTATTATAATTTTGCTAATAATATTCCTGTTTTTTGATTTTAATAGTTGTTGATATGATCGCTGAAGGTAACTAAACTAATAAACAAGCAAATGCTATTGTCATTTATCATCATTTCTTATTAATTATTTTTTTTTTTTACCTTTTTATTGTTTAGTTGTAATCTATCAAACATATAAAAATGTAGAAGATAAAAACATTGAAGCGTTGTATAAAT